AAAACATAAACATTTATGAAAGCTTCTGTTAACATTATGGTAAAAAATTATTATAATGAAATTAATGTATGAAAACTGAAAACAAATCAATAAAATGTGACTTTTTTATTTAGAATAATTTATTTTGTAATTGACTTTAATGAATTTGTTAAAATACTTTAAAAAAACAACAACAAATAATCATTTCTCAGGCTATTTAAATCCATTCCCAGGTTAAAAACAATGACCACAGTAATTATCAGCAATTCTCAGCAGCGACAGTACCTCAACAGTATTTATCAGTATTTATCAGACTCCACAGTAAAAGACGACAGTAATTATCAGTATTTATCAGCAACAACTAAAATTATCAGCAACAACAGTAATAATAACAGTAAATATCAGTAATTATCAGCAAGAACAGCACCGTATCAGTAATTATCAGACATTATCAGTAAAATTTGGGATTCTCAGCACTTTTTTCGTCCAGTAGTGTCTCTCACTTGATTGAATTGATCTGATTTATTTAAGAGGCAGTCCACCGAAAAATCAGGCAATAGATGGCACATCGCATGTCTTGGATTTTAATTATTTTTTGCATGTAGACTTATTAAAGCAAGTGTTTACACATGACAATATCAAAAAAAAAATTAGTGGTCCTCTAGTCCTATTTTTGGTAAATGTCTAATTTTAAGTGCAAAAAGGTCAACATTAGGGTATAAAAAATACTACGTTTTTATTTTGTTTTATATGTAACAGATACTCAAAAGCTAGATGTGTCAATCAGTATTATTTATAGGAAAGACTCTTATCTTTTATTTTATAATAAATAATGTGGTCCAAAATTGAGTTTTGCAAGTGACTTTTTGAATTCAGTATCCGATTTTTGATACGTTATAAAATCCAATACATTATTATGACAGAATTTTTCCCTCATGTTATTATGAATACAAAGTACAAACTTTTGAGTCACTTCATAAAATTTGTGGGAACAGGTATATTGAGGGAAATAAAACGAGTCAAATTCACCTATTATCTACGATTTTTCCCAAATTAAACCGATCCCGATCGGAATTATATAAAGAAGAAAATACTGTAATTGTATTGTTAAATTTGGCTCTTTTGTTGTTATATACTTCAAAATTTACTAAATCTATTTTTATACATGTCTTATAGGTGACAGTTGCCTTTAATTTGATAACTTTACAAATTTTGAATTATTTTCGATCGGGATCGGATTTATTTTAATCGGGTGTGGTTTTAAGGAATATTTCCTAAACATGGTTCTTCATTTTAATTTACCAGAGAAATAATATGCCTGTCTTTTGTTCTTTTCAGTCAATAAAATGTTTTAGAAGATTTTGTCATTATATTCAAATGTATACGTATATATTTAAATTCCTCATGTCTTTTATGTACAAGATGGCAGTGTGCATGTAAAAAAAAAAAACTTTGATTTCTTGATACTCGCGCGGATCGGTATTTAAAAAAGCCATTAGTGTTTGTACGTATGCATTATGCAGCAGCTGAGAAAGAAAAGCTCAGCTTCATTATTTTTCTTATTTCCAAGTTTTTTTTTCTTTCATTAATGTTTTCTCAGGAATTAATAAGGAGTTAAATTCTATTAGTGTCGCACGTACCTACAGTGTAAATACAGAAAATATTTTTATGTGCATAGTCTCGGGTTTATCCAAGTTTTTTCAAGCTAGAATTGGCCAACATAGCCACATATTTTAACTCCATATTAAAGTGAGTATATATTAATTTCTATCCCCTAAGTATAAAAGAAAAATAATTTTATTAAAAAAAAAAAAGTAACGTTTCACTGAACCATCTTCCGTTTTAGTGTCAAATTGAAGTGGGGAGTTCAGCAGTAATCTTCCGTAACAAATATTATTGTAACTTAAATTATTTATCAGGTTTTTTTTTCATATTTTTCGTACCGCTGCTTTTTTATTTTTTTTGACTGCAAAGATAAATATATTAGAGATTTTACAAAAACATGTATCTTGAAGTAAACATCTCAACTTCGATAATTAATTTTGCGTAAATCTAAAATATTCACGAGTTCTTAATAACCAGGGAAAAAAAATTTCACATCCCAATAACATAAGAAATATTCGGTATAAACACTATAAAAATTAATTAACTAGTTTTGCGCAAATCCTAGTATTAAACATGTATAAGAAGATATAAAAACATTATTTAACATGTTGGATAATGCACTGTGTAGAGTAATTGAACAGAAAAGGAAAAATTACTTTTTTAAAATTATTTTTTCTTTGCACTTTTACGCAAAGATTACAAACTTTTCTGGAAGTCTTGTAACTATTTGATTGTGACGCAGTATTAGTCAGGTATATGACGTCACTGATACATCAATGGAAACGTGGATTCAACCTGAATAATACAGCCCATTTTTATCCAAATATTATGTTTGAAGGCGTAAATGAGTTCTATTTTGAAAATAAAGTAGTCATTTTTTTTAAAAAATAATTTTCTTTAGTGTGTCAATTCTAAATATTTCTCTAGGATTCCGATAGTAAGGTGTGTTTCAGATTTACTGATTCCACGGGAGATAACTCTTGCACTGCAAAATTTCATAAAATCGTCTATATATTTTGCCAAAAAACTAATTCAAAAGTGATTTTCCCACCGATTTTATTTTTGAAACAGAAAGATGAAATATTTCTAGATTTAGTTCAGCGTGAATTTTAGTCCTTTTAAAAATGTATTAGAAGTTACAGTTCTATGTTTCTGACCTAAATTCAATGGTTTATATAGGGGAACTCAAAAACACGAAAGAAACGGATATTTTACTAAATAAGTAATTTTCAAACAAATCTTCGATTATATTATTCCATTTGGACTACATTGATATTGTTTTCAATAAAATATCAAATATTCCTCACATTCGATGTGCCGCCTACCAATACAATACTGCCTGGTTTTCCGGTGGACTGCCTCTTAACAATATCAAATACTCACAGATGACAGTGATTTAGCCCATCTCGGTCCCTTATTTGAGGGGGCCAGCCCCTTTTTCTTCATTTCAAATGAATGGTCTTGGAATTTGGAAGACTTTTTCTTCAACACCAATTCACATTTTTCTTTTTGTTGAAAAGATATCTCGAATGGAAATATGGACCACCTATAAAAGGCCACCTATGCAAGTCCTAAATGGACCGTTTTTCAAAAAACTCAAACGATGCATATTGTTTGAAACAGTATTCTGACCATCTTTTGTTCAAAATTGCTTATCATAAAAGTCCCCCTTTTTTAGATAAAAACCGTCAAAGATTTTAAAATTTTGGCCCCTTATGATCCCTAATTACGTAACATATGATCAAAATTTTATAATATGTAGTTGCAAATTTTTAAGTTATGCATTTTTTCTTCAGTAATTTATTAAAAAATATTGATCGCTAACGAGCTAAAGATAAAAGACTTGAGTTGAGGAGTCAGTCCCTTTCTTTCCTTATTTTAAATAAAAGGTCTTATGAATTCAAAAACTTTTTGTTCAACACTTATTCAGAGATTTCTTTTCGTTGTGGAGATATTCTGAATAGAAATATTTAGGGGCTACCCATCCAAGTCCTTAATGGGGCCGTTTAACAAAATTTGAAATATGCATATTGTTTAAAAATTTATTCTGACCATCTTTTGTTTAATATTGCTTATCAAAATATTCCCCATATTCGAGATATAAAACATCAAATATTTAGATATTCTGGCCCCTTGTGACCCCTAATTACGTAACATATGATCAAAATTTTATAATATATTGTTGAAAATTATTAAGTTAAACATTTTTGCTTTGGTTATTTATAACAAAACATTGGTAGTGAACGAGTAATAGATGAAAGTCTATTGGCCCCTCTAGGCTCCTAATTTGAGAAGGCAGCCCCTTTTTCTCCATATCAAATGAGAGATCTAGAACCTTTGAATACCTTTTCTTCTGTATGTATTAACAAAATGTTTACAAATAAAAAGATATAATAGAAAAGTTGTTAAATTTTTTGAGATATTTTTGAGTCCTTTTTTAAACCCAGGCTAGCTTCGGTGCCTTTTGGACTGGAAAAATATAGGCTCAAAATGGCCCTTATACAATCCATCCTCTATCTACACTGAAAATCTCAACTCCATATTTTAAGTCGTTTAGGTGGAGTTACTCGGACAAGCAGACCCTCTGAAAATCATAGAATCGTCCATATCTCAGGACCAGAAGTGACGATCTCAATACAAAAAATTTCCGATAAGGTTCTGACGAATATCTATTAGATCTGAAAGTTTCATGAAAATCCATCGAGCAGTTTCGGAGAACTCGCGTGCACAAAATCGGTAAGAATGTAGAAAAATAATAGGAAGAAGAGAGAAAAAGAAACAGAACGGATACAAAAGGTTTTCCGTTGAAGAATTTTAAAGAATTTTCCTATATATTTCTATGTAAAACTTTGGTCGGCCATTTTTGCTCCGCCCTATCCCCGGGGGTCATGGTTTGAACAAACTTGAATCTACACTACCTGTGGATATTTCTCCAATAAGTTTCATCTTTCCTGGCACAGTGGTTCCTGAGAAGAAGATTTCTAAAATATGCCAACAGTATTTCAGTTATTCCCAATAATATCCCCTTGAATGAGGGCGTGGCCCTTCATTTGAACAAATTTGAATCCCCTTTACCCAAGAATGCTTTGTGGCAAGTTTGGTTGAAATTGGCCCATGGGTTCTTGAGAAAAAGTCGAAAATGTGAAAAGTTTACGGACAGACGGACGGACAGACAGACGGACGCCGGACAAAGTATGATCAGAAAAGCTCACTTGAGTTTTCAGTTTGTACCAGACTTAATAAAAAGACGATCATGATGAAATGTGAAATAGATTCGTCATGTGATACGAGTATATACTGTTCGGATTAAAAAGAATGATGGACTCCAAAATACTGATAAAAGACGTAAATTGAAGTGTTAATTTCTTTTGGTAAGATATATATTAAAAGAAGCATTTTCATATTTATCATTACAGACTACTTTGTTTTTTGGATAAAGTCTATACATACCTACTGTGGTCCTGACTACGAAAAAGATACAAAACCCATAGTTCTTATTGTGGCCACTCATTGGGAAGAAGGAAACAGACAATTCAAGGTTCGCTAAATTTATCTGGTAAAATTGTCATTTATACCAACATCATCATAAGAAATTTGATTTTTTTTTTCTTAAGGAACTTAATTCGTAAACAATCCTTGAGTGATCTGAGACAGTTTTATTGTATAAAATAATTTTCACCAGGGTATAGATCGACATATACATATATATGTTTGAATTATTCGCATATGATTTTACCAAGTTTAAAAAGGTTTATTATAAAACATCAGATTTACCTTCAATTTGCTTTATTTCTTGGGAAGTTTTAAGAGATGTATAACTTTATCTTTTTTTGTGTAGTTGGGAATAATGCTTTATAAGGAACATAAAATAAATGTAGTAAGAAAATCAGAGTCCCAAATGATGCCTTAACAGGAATACAAACTGTCAATATCTTAATACTTCTTGAAAATTAATTGAATAAAAATTCTTTATCAATGCAGGATGAAGTGGAACTGGTTGAGCGCTTACGATTTCAGTTTCCGAAGACGTCTAATTTATCACAGTACATCAGAGATGATAACGTGTATTGTGTAGGTTTTACTTTACCACTCCATGATCTGGAAACACGCTTTTTTAACATAGCCTCAAATCAACGATGGAGAGAAAGCATTCCAAAAGAATGGTCTTTCTTTGGATTAGAAATCAGCCAGAAAAAACACTCAGAGCGGATCTTGAAAATTTCAGAAATAAAAACAGATGTACCAGAGATTACTGCTAAAGAACAGGAGGATTCAGATAAAACCGAAAATGGAACACAAGATATGTTGCGATACTACCATGATGCTGGAAAAGCCATATATTTAAATGAAAATGGCCTCAATGAGGAAGTGATTATTGACGTTCAATGGTTTATTGACGCCTTTAAATATATCATCACAGATAAGCTTCATTTCAAAGGTATTCCTGTATCACAAAGCGACTGGGATGAATATTACGAGACTGGAAATTTGCGAGACCAGCTTCTGGTAGAGATTTGGAAACATAAAGATGAAGAGTTGTTTGAAAAGCTTAGGGAAAAAGACAAAATCTACCACATTAGACTTGGATCGTATGAGAAAGAAAAAAGATATCTGCAATGTCACAAGAAATTACTTCTTGGTTTTATGCAAAGACTTGGTTTACTGGCTCTTGGTACAAATTCGCACTATATTCCATGTATGAACAGGAAAGGAGTGGAGTGTAATCTTTCCAATCTGATTTACAATTCACACAGTAAATCGTCAGTCCTTATTTATAAATTTGACTTTTTGCCATTTTTCTTGTTTTATCGCCTTATTGTCGCTTGTATGCAAGAAGATAGTTGGAGTGTTCTACAAAATAATGGTATATCTTGCCTCTACAGAAACGCCGCTTTGTTTTCGAGTATGGAAACCACTTTCCTTTTATCCGTCACAGAAGAGTCTATACAGCTTCAAGTATTCTGTCTGATGCCAGGATGTGTTTTGGAAAGGGTAAAAACGTGCAAGATTCAAGAAAGAATTGAAGACCTGTTAAATAATTTAGCGGGAACATTTCATAGAAAAATACAGTTTGTAAGAGGCTTCCGATGTCGAATAGATGAAGAAAAAATGATTGCTGTTGATATCGAAGGACATTTCTTACCAGAAAAATATTACATTCCAAAAGAAGACTGTAAAATGTTGTGCCCTTTACATACGATTTCAGATCAGCATGTCATTGATACAGCTGAATTTACTAGATATTGGAAAATGGCAAGAAATGCCAAACCTTAAATTTACCAAAAAAAATATCATATTTTTTTTAATCTAATTTTAAATTGTTTGATGGTTGATAATTTTTTATGTAACCTGTACTGACAGCTCATTTCACCTATTGGGCTCCTAGTTTTATTGCCCCACGGTGTAATCTAAAAGATAGGATTATGTGGAAATCCTCCTTATCTCTCTGTTTGTCTTTTTTCTGTCTGTAGTGTGAACTTTTTAAAATTCCCGACTTCTTAAGAACAAAAAAAAAAAAAATACAAATGTTGGTGCATACATGTAGCATCCTTACGTAAAGGGCAATGAACAGGAACTATATCTAAGATTGGAATTTTTAATGATGTTTTTTTATTTTCTAAAACTCCTTTCTTAATTACTGCTGCATTAAAAATACTAACTTCAAATATGTGTCCATGCACCTTTAAGTTACGCATGTACATGAACTATTCATCGATGTAATATAAGCTTTCAATTATCAGATTTACTCACATAGATATATAATAAATTACGAATATATTGACTGTACCAACAATATAAAACTATGTCAACTGTCGATTTTTAGATAAAATATTAGAAGGTTAAACGTGTATATACATAGATCTTGTAAATGTATACATGTAAAAAAGAAAAAAAAAGAATTGAACCCAATTAAATTATAATTTTAATAATATGTTTTATATCTCCACATTAAAATGTATCATCCAAGTGGCCAGTTCATCTGTCTGCCTCCCATAACATGTTTGTGAAGATGCTGTACTGACTGGTCCTCATCTGGTCCATTGTTAATTACTGGCCAGTGGGGGAAAGATAGAAATTGGAAAATTTTGAGAAACCAAATGGTTGACATTGATGAATATTTGACAAGACAAACCTATAAAATTGCTTTTAAAAATTGTTTGTATCCATATGTTGTCAATGTCATGATCGAATTTAAATATATTATTTCTGTATTGACATGTTTTAACGCAGCTTAAGTTTACCATCTATGTTAAGCTTCTGCATATGTTACTTATCCTAGTCTGTATCCAGATTCAAGATTTTAATTTTGAATATACATCACAAGATTTAGAACATACATCACAAGATAATAGAATGTACATCACAAAATTTTGAATATACATCACAAGATTTAATTTACATCACAAGATTTAGAATATACATCACAAATTGTTGAACATACATCACAAGATTTTGAATATACATCACAAGATTTTGAATATACATCACAAGATTATCGAATGTCAGAATGTTCAAAAGATATACTCTATATTTTAGATTTGTGGTTGTAAATTCCTAGAATCTCTATAATGAAAATAAAATACTTGAATTTTAATAGCTTTATTTCATGTATTTTAAGTAAATTAATACTGTAATCATTTAAAAAAAATACACGTATATTTTTTTATTGTAGCTGTGAGGAGTTTCAAACTTAAAGGCAGAGATTTTTTAGCGGGTGGTAAATTCCAGGTGAGAGAGGAGCTTATTTTGTACATGTGTGAATGCCTTGGGGGCTAGCAGTCTACCTCTGGTCATCTGTCTCCTAACCCCTATACACAGGAAGTGATTTAATACACAGTGACATACCCCAATTGTCAAACTTTACCTGTGTTGGGGATTTTGAGACAATTTGAAATTAGTTGTAAAAGGGTTTCTCCATTATATTGATTTTTTGACTTTCTGAAAACACCCCTAACCATTTAGAAATATGATAATTATTATACTAAATAAATTCAAATATTAAAACAAAAGATTATTTAAGATTTGAGTGTATGCGTTAATAAAAATAAAACTCCCGTAACAACCTAATTTGACTTTTAAAATGTATTCATTCACAGGATTCTCTCCATTAATTTAATAAAAAGAGAATCGTGTTAACTGCATTTCACTAAAAAAAAATAGCTAGTAGATTTATCCCAACCTTAAAAAAGCTTTTTGACCATGAAACATGCTAAAAGACTGCTTGTAAATTCTTTTCTGATTAGAAAAGGAAAATATATGTGACCCATGATTAGAAACATTATTTTAAAATTTAATTTCTTCACTTAGTGCTGCAGTGAACTTTATCAATAACATTTCCACTTTAGGTTTACCATAATGATTTAGCATATTAAAATTAATATCAAAATAATTGCATTTGAAAAAAAATGCACCAAAGGTTATAATTAAAAAAAATGTATATTAATTATTTTATAATCCTTTCAAATACTAAAGGTATATTATATTCATGTATTATCAATCAAAAATGTTCATAGTATTCTATATACAATGTTCAGTAAACATCAGGATTAAAAGTTAATAAGAAGGTCACCATGAGTCTCAAGCAATGTGTACAGGGTATACACAGAGACCAGTAAGTAAATGTCAATCAAGTTCCAGCATCCAATAATGGACCTTCACGCACTTGATTTTCAGGTCTACCCTGACCAGGTATTTTTGAAGGCGGTGCTTAAAATCTCTGCCTTGAAACAATTAATAAAATAAACTGTTTTAATATTATGTTTTAGGAATTGATTGCGATATCCAGAAAAGCAGATACTCATACAAGGTGGCCTTTGGTCTGACCTGTAATTGATGAGAAAATAACCGATGTATTAAACTAGAACTAATTTTACATCAGATAACCCGAACAATATTTTCATAAATATGTTAGGGATTTGAAACGCTGTGACCAGTCATGAGTTTTATATAAAGATACGTTGAAGGGTTCCTAAAAAAAGCAGTTATCTCAATTCTGAACATAAAGGACTTGGAAGACTAATATGACATTGATTATTAGTTACAATATTTTAAGTGTACATGTATGCTTTGTAGTTCAGCATATTGTAAACTTTAGTTGTTTTTTTTTTCTTGCATATTTCATTATAGTAGAACAATAATAAAAAAAAAACAATACAACTGCTATCTATAATTATCATAAAAGTTTTAGTGTGTCATTTACCTTTGCAGAATAAAGATATAGGTCATATAAACAGTAAAGTTTTCCAAGAAACTCATATTTACATTTAGCTACTAATTTACTGACACCCAAAAGAAACACAACATCCTACCTTAGGGGGAAATGATTAAAACAAAATACCCATGGGCCTTATAGGTCACCTGAGCATTATGCAAAAACTTTCCAGTGATTGAATTTGATTCATGTTTTAAACCAGATGCTATGGCATTCACAATTTTAATGGCATCATTGATCATCATAACTAAACACTTAGCAGTTGCTTAGTTTGGTTACTTAATACCCATAGGCAAGGCAAAGGAACAAAAAATCCATTTCAACTAATCAGTAATATTCAGCAATAATCAGTAGTGCCCCTATCACAAATGAACCCCTGACCCTTAGGCCTAGATCAACACATTGCACAATTTTTAGCTCACCTGAGCTGAAGGCTCAAGTGAGCTATTCTGATCAAAATTTGTCCGTTGTCTGTCGTCGTTGTTGTCGTAAACTTCTCACATTTTCATCTTCTTCTCAAGAACCAATGGGCCAATTTCAACCAAACTCGGCACAAAGTATCCTTGGGTTAAGGGGATTCAAATTTGTTCAAATGAAGGGCCACGCTTTTCTCCAAGGGGAGATAATCATGAATTAGTGAAAAAATTAATGGCATTTTTTAAAATCTTCTTCTCATGAACCACTGGGCTAAGAAACATGAAACTCGTGTTGAAGCATCCTCGGGTAATGTAAATTCAAATTTGTTCAAATCATGACCCCCGCGGGTAGGGTGGGGCCACAATGGCCGGCCAAAATTTTACATAGGAGTATATAGGGATAATCTTTAAAAATCTTCCTCTCTAGAACGGCAAAGCAATTATTGGTTATAGTTATATGGAAGCATCCTCAGGTAGTGAGTAATTCTGCATTATTAAATGCAGAATCAATTTTGTCAGTTTGTGGCAGTCAGGAATAAAATCATTAGAGCAGCTGCGTTTATTTATTTTTTTTTTTCGATCGGGCGCGGTGTACCAATATCTGATCACGAGGTGTCAGCCATTTTTTATGTAAAGTTTTGAAGACAGTGGAAGAAAGTTGCGGATTTGAGACAAAAATATTGATATTTGATTATTGTTGGTGTCATTATATAAGGTTTAAAAAGTGTAGAATTTATCTGAATAATTATAACCTTGAGTATATTTATTCGTACAACATTTATGATTACTGCAGAGTGTTTCCGCGCAGTAATTATACTGCGCAGTTTATAACGCTGATACTAAAACAAGTCCCATGGAGAAAATAAGTCCCACATGAGTCCTACGTGAGTCCCACAGCAAGAGAGCCAATAAATACATATAATAATGGGTTATTTTGAAAGAATATCATATTCATATGATCATATATCAAATAAAAGTTTTGATAAAATGTTTAATGTGTTAAATAGACGATTTTAAATTTCAGACCACAGTCAAGAATGATAACTCTGTTCAAATGAAAACAATGGCTAAGAAATGTTTTGACAAATGAATGCTTGATCACCGCTGAAAGCTAACTTTTTTTCTAAAAAAAAAATTTGATATTTGTTACAATATTTTTTTTAGTAAGGAAGTTAAATTAATATGGTGTTATTTCTGGATTTAATATATTCTTCTGTTGTACTTGAAGTTTCGTTTTAAAATATTCTTCCAACGTATGAACGCATATGAATGTTATATAAAAACTTAAAGTACATTTTATTTTATTCTAGTATAATATCACTTTGTTTCTCACAAAATAAAATAGTTTTACTGTGGTTTTATGTAATTTAACAACAACTTGGTAAGTTTTCCTCACACCCATGTTTATTGTGTATATACACATTTCACAGACACCTGTAGAGGTACGTTCCTGGTATACCATACCTGTACACAACACCTGGGAGATGTTATTCACACCTTTCAATCCCCCTGTTGTTTGTATACCTATTACAATAACTTTTGAACAAGGCTGGGGCTAGGTTACACCATTTTGAATACAAATAAAATATTTAATATAATGTAGAATTATTGAAATTTCAGCTACTATTGTGTATAACAAATAAGGT